TAAGTCTAATGATGAAAAGAGTTGCAGGATATGCAGATAGCAGAATGAATGATATTAATACCTCTAGTATTTAACTTCTTTTAAATACCTTTTTTTTTTTTTTTTTTTTCCAAATTGTGAAAATGCTCAGCTAAGTAATTGTTCTACTGTGCCTGCAAATCTTGCTTTTTCGTTTTGGAATCAGAATCATGTTATTGCAGCAGGTGACTTTATGGCATTACTACTCGATTTGAGGTTGTTTTTTCTCACGTGAGAAGCCGCAGTGTCTTGGATGAGGCTCTTTCTGAGAGTAATTGCTAACCTGCAGGAACACGTATCACGCGGAGGAAAGTGTTGATGGGGGTATTTCCATTCCAAAGATATCAGGCAGGACTAACAGCCCGGCTTTTGTCCTTTTGTGAAGGAGGACAATCACAAAGATAATTCTCTTGGCTATCACACAGCAAGACTGCATGTCAATATGTAAAATTACCTCAAGGAAAGGACTGAGCTGAAAGGTCTTCTTTTTGCTGTGTGATAGCCAATACCTGTATTTCAAAGCCTTTCTGTTAGTCAAAAGTTTCTCAAGAATATGCATTTATGTTATCTTTTGTGAAAATTTTTAGCAATTAGCAAGAAAGTATAGAACTGGGGGGCTGGGGAAGAGAAACTACCTACCAGCATCTCTTGGCTGCGCTGAACTCCAGAAATATTGACACTTGGTGCTGGGGAAGAATTTAAAAATGAAACTATTAATGATTGATGAACTCAGTACAGCATATTTGAAAATTACTACTGTACTCACTCCTAGGCTTTATTTTACTCAATTAAAAATGACTCCTTAGTTTCTACTGGCCCCACCTCTGAAATATTTCCTAATAGAAAAGTCATTATATTCTGACACCTATGTGCTCCCTGATCATTAAGTTTTGATAATTGCATGCTTCCAGTTTTTCATTTTCCCATATTTTATCTCTTCCCTTTTCTTCGTTGTTAGGTCCTCCCTCATGCGATACCCGAGGTTTTGTCTTTACAGAGCCTTTCAGTTGCTCAAAGACGAGTTGGACGTGTTTGGAACCTGCCCCCAGGATGGTCAGGGAGGGGGCAGGTAGAGTGACACCTGCCTGATGCATCTTGGAAAAACTTGGATGTTTGTTTGGCACAAGGCTGCAATGATTCATGGAAAACTCAGATGCTCTGTGCCAAAAGCAGAAGCAGAATTGGGGGAATTAGGAGCCCTGGGCCACAAATGTTGTTCATTGTGCTTTGGTAACTCTAATGCAAGTCTGGATTTCAGCAGAGGTTTTCAGATGGTTGTGTGATTTGAGCATCTTCGACCTTTATCAACATTTAGTCCTTTCTTGGTTTCTTTTCTCCTTATTCTATATGGAGCTCTGTGTTTGAGAACAACCTTTTTTTTTTCCTCTATGGCAAATTCAGTAATCTCTGATAGATTGATGAGCTTTCAGGGACTGGAGAGAGGCAGTGCTACAAGAAAGACCATCCTGGAGTTTTGGTCAGAGGGTGAAGTGATTGAGGAGCACATTCCAACTCTTGAATAAAATTAACTAAAGTGGAGATTAATGTTCCATAGATACAGCACTGTCAATCTTGCCAAGAGTCATGAAAACACCTTGATTAATTTTGTGGATGGAGACCTGTGGCTTCCTCTTGAAAGGCTAGGACAACAAAATCTTCTAGGCTCAGTGTAGTAAAAAAGTTGTTCTGCAGAACCTTTCAGTTTTATTGGTATATTTTAATTTATTTCTGCCTTATAAGTTTTTTCTACATGCGTATGTAAAACTTCTCCATCACTAACTTGATTACTGCATGTAATATGAACGATTTGCAAGTTGCAACCTGCTGAAAAGGCCTGAGGGCAAATTTGCTTTCCATACAGTTTCAAGTCTCCACCCATCCTATGAGCATGACTTCGAAGGCTTAAGCATTTTGCATTTATAGCACTTTTGCAACTGTTCCATTGTAAGGAGATAAACGAGCAAGGCTTCAGCTGCTTCTTTTGGGTTATGATAGCAGACTTTCCATAGAGGCAAGTAGGAGTGACCTTGCTGCATTTCTCACCTCTGAGATGGCTTTAGAGATTAATCCAAAAGTCCTGAAGTTGGAGGAAAATTGGATTAAGCAGCTCATTGTGATTTTGCCAATACAGGTCTTTAATATGATTACATAATTCATAATAGAATGAACTACTATTATGTTAGTGAACCAAACGTCACACAGTACTGAAAACTTTTGATGTTGTTCTGAATGAAATTTTTTCAGGATTTCCATTTAATGAAAACAAATTCATGGGTTGAGATCCATATTGAGTAGATGTGTGTCCTGGTGGCCTATTGAGCAGCAGCAATGAACATCCCACTTATGGAGAAAAGCAAAAACTGATAAAGAAAAAAATAAATCCAGGAAGGATATATAATACGTCAACTCCTTTTCCCATGAGCGAAACCTCATCACCCTGAAGGGATTGGCAGCGTTGGAAGGAAAATTTGCTTCCTACCTTTGTTGCACAAACGGTGGGATGAACCATTAGAGCCAGGCAAGCCAGTATTGGCACGAGGCCTCTTCAGCAAGTAATTCCCACACTGTGTTTTGCTACAAACCCTGACTGCTTCCACAGGTACCTCTCTGAAGTCACAGATGGCCATTTCAGAAACCATTGCCTTTGTAATTTGTCCTTGACAATGCCATCTTCACCCCTCCATTCTGTCTTCTAAGCAGCAGGACCACTTCTTGACATGTCCTCCTTGTAGATACACTTCCACCTTGCTTACAGCAGGCTCACAGTGAAATAAGACATTTCTCACCAGATGGAGAATGCTGCCTTGCTTTCATGGGCTACTAGACCAATAATTGATTTTTTTTTTTTTTTTAAGTTAGTGGTAAAGGCTTGGTCTAAGTTGCCTGTAGATCAGTTCAACACCAAGGAAATTGCCTCACTTTTAATCACTTTGTCTTTAAATCAAGGTTAAGGCTTTCTTAGGCAGAAAACCTTAATTTAAACATGAACTTTAGGGCTTGGTTCTGTTCAGCTGCAGAGGAGAGGATAATTCCTGCAGATGCAGGAGCCAACATTCTAAGTTTTCTGCCTTGCTTCACCTGTCAGTTTACAGCAGTCCTGTCTGTCTGATCCTCTCCTCTAAAGAGTGTAACATTGCCAGTTGAGTTCTGGATGAGAGTAATTATATGCTGTTGATAGACAGTTAAATGATTTAGGTCCTCTTCCTCAGATCCTGAAGGCCAACATGAGGTTTTTTTTGTTATGGTTTGTTGGTTGGTCTGCATGTGTTGGCCTGCCAGGATTTAGTGCATTCTAAAGTGATTTGCAAAGTGGGTTTTCTGGTCTTTAGCTCATGCCATTTGGGAAGGGGAGAGGTAAACGAGCCCCAGCTTTGTTTGCTGAATCAGTTTTGGATGTGTGTGTCAGGTGCCAATATTAGTAAGCACTGCTATCGCAGAAGGTATAGGTTAAGAACAGAATTTACTCATCGTATTCTTAAATAAGCACATCAAACACAATCTGCTGTATCACCAGAGCTGTTTGTGTTAGCTAAGGGCAATACCCAACATCTGATAATAGCACTGGTGCAACCAAATGGAAAACATGGGTATCTCTCTGCTCCTAGGAAATGTCAGAACTGTTTGCTGTATTCTCAGCATGTTAAGATTATAATTAATTTATTTTTAAATTATTTTTTCTCCCCATTGTATTAACAGAAGATTCAGTAAATGGCATTGATAGTAATCCAGGAGTGCTTTCCAAACTAGAAAGGTGACGTCAGTTAGGCTGCTGGTCAGGAGATGGGATATCTCATCTATGGTAGAGCCAAACTGGCTCTGGTTTGCTGGCTGATAATTCTGTATTCATAGCTGAGACATTCCAGGGGTGACTGGCTGGCATGGTGCTTGGTTGGTGCGTGGCTGTTCCAGCTGTGAGGAACCAGCCTTCAGGGATCCCGATGGACTCAGCCCCTGGTGAATGCAAGTGCAGCTGCTGTGCTGTTCAGCTGCAGAGCTAACAGGAGAAATGCAGCCCTGCTTCAGGCTCCTCTCAGAGGATATCTCCAGTATCCTCTCTGGAGATACTAACTTCTCCACTGCTTGCTGCAGAGAGCCTGTAAAGGAGTGTTTTCTTTAATTTTTATTTTATTATTTTCTCCCAAAACCTGTGTCCTATCAGGACACTGCAGCTGTACTTGCTTTTTGTTCCAAAGAGAAGAGTATTCTGGCATCTTTCCATATCTAAAATATAACTCTCCTTGAGAGTCTGCTGCACAGGGTGATAAAATACAATCTTATTTTACTTTCCCACCTTTCAGATGCTGTCCCACACAGTCCTCAGTCCTGGTGTACCTCTTAGTTGTGTTTAGATTGAGACACGCTGGGTAGCACTTTGCTAAACAAAAAGTCCCACTAATTTGGACAGAAAAGGTATTTGTCAAGGTGTGGATCTGAAAGACCCGTGGAAAAGACCATTTATAAATAGGGGAGAGCAATTAAGCAACCAGACAATCTGCGTGTCCTTATGTCTGTACACGGAGTGTGCTTTGAGCAGCGTCCTCGTGTTATGGAATGCCTGGGGGAGGTCACTGTGACATCCCTTCCCATAAAGGGTGAAATGTCACAGCCACCTTGGTGGTTGAACTGGGGGAGTGCTTTAGAAAAATCCTTAAGTCTTTCTGCTCAAATTCCTCCTCTGGAGATGATTTAACTTTTATGACCTGCCCTTTCTGTGCCTGTACCTGAAAGGTGTGCTCAGAAGCTGAAATTTCCATGGTGTTTGACTCCCTTGTGGCACAGGCAGGGGTGGAGCAGGGTCTCCGGGGCAGGGAGCAGAGGTCAGGCAGTGCCTCCGAGGGGAGGCACAGCGAGCAGCGGGGTTGAGCTGCTCAGGTGAGGGTCAGTGTTGGATGGGGAACTGGCGGCTCGGAGCTAGAAGACAAAGAGAAGAGTTTGTGGGTAGGTACTGGACGAGGAGGGAGAGGGGAAGGAGTGGGGGGGACATGCTAGAAGTGAAGGTGGGTGACAGAGAGGCGGCCAGGCAGGGGTGCAACGAGAGCTGAAGAGCCCTGACTGGGGGAGCGAGCCCAGGCAGGTTCGTGGCAGGGGAAGTGGGTCGGGGCAAGGCGAGGAGCGAGGGCGTGTGGAGGGCAGGCAGCATTTAGGAGGGGAAGTGGGCAGGTGACCGTGCAAGGTGTCAGGCAGGTGGGTGTTCCCGAGGAAGTGGGCGCGGGGCCGGAGGAGGGCCAGCGGGCGGGGTGCGGCGGGGAAGCGGGCACGGGCTGCGAGGGGCTGCCCCGGGGGCGGGAGGCGGCCCCGCCCGGGCCGTGGGGCAGCCCAGGAAAGCGGCGGGCGGCGGGCGGCGCGGGCAGAGCGCAGCGGCTGCGGCGGCAGGGATGGGGATGCTCAGCCTGCCCGGCTTTCTGTCCTGCGGGAAGAAGAAGGTGAGGCGGCGGGGGGAGGCTGGCCGGAGGCTCCCGGGCAGGTGGGGTGCGCGAGGATGTAGGCAAGTGTGGGTGCAGCTGAGCAGGTGGGTTGTGGAGGGGCCCAGGTGGGCGTAGCGGCACTCGGGCGAGCAGGCTGCAGGTACGTCGGCAGCTGTGGGCAGGTATGAAGTTGTCTGGGCGGGTGAGATCCAAACAGGTAGTGGAAGGTAAAGTAGGATGAGCGCCTCGGCATATGCGTAAGGCACTAGGACAGGTGTTTTTTTAAAGTGGGCATACAGGTATGTGAATATCTGAACAAGTATGGGGGCATCTGGGCATGTGCAGGGCCAGAATAGGGGAGTCTCCTGGAGCTGATAGCACAGGGTAAGGCAGGAGTAAGGCGGGAGTAAGGCAAAGCTGTGGAGGTGTTTGGGTTCTCTGGTGGGACCCTCTCTCACAGGTCTGTGCTGTCCTGCCAGGGATCAGCTGGACTGGCAGCGCAACTAGCTGTGCCCATCCTGTCTGGGTGATCAGCCACACCAAGGTGCGTCTCTGGACAGAGAAATGATGATATGATTGCCCTTCTTGCCTGGTGGGTATCACAAGCCTTCCCTCTTCTCTTCAAAGGACTTCAGTTTTGGAAATGAAAAAGATGCCCACGAGAGCGATGAGAACTTGGAGCGTGGCAACTGGTCAAACAAGGGCGACTACCTGCTGTCCTTGGTGGGCTATGCCGTGGGCCTGGGCAACGTCTGGCGCTTTCCCTACCTCACCTACCAGAATGGAGGAGGTACCTGTGCTGAATGGCAGGGTCGGGTGGGCACACCTTGCTCTCCCCAGGAGAGAGGAGAGCAAGCTCCAAGGGCTGGTCTGAGGTTGGGCACGTTCTGTCAAAGCTGGATGTGAGCGTCACCCTGGGAACTGGGATAGAGCCTGCTCATGGGAAAGGGCAGTAAGAGGCACCTGCTTTTTGGGTACCAGCTGAGAAGGGAAATAGTATTTAGTTTGAGTTGCAAATTTCTACCTGAGAATTCCATCTTCTGAGTTACTCATAACCAACATGTACCTTTTTGTCCGTGTGCCAATATCCTTTACTTGTCTAAATAGCTGCTCTCCCTCCCCAGTGCTTACCTCCTGGTAAGTTTATGTTATATACCATACCTGATATGTTTATAGAGAACAATTGAATCCCCTCTGCACCTTTGTTTTTCCATGCAAACAATGTAAGCTGGAATAATTAGCTCAATAATTACCCAGATCAAACACTTGGGAAGTGTGAGACAGAAAGAGCCTCTACCTGCTTACACAATGAACTAGTGACAAAGCCAAGCAGAGGCACTGGTTTCCTTGGCTTGTATTCCAGAGCTTTATCTACTTGCCAGGCTACCACTGGTAATTAGAGTCCGTAAATAGTAACTGCAGAGAACTTACTTATAGGTACCTATTTGCTCTGCCTAAGTTGTTGAAGTAAAATTCTGGGCTGTAAATGCAGTACAGCCCACACAGATGCACATGGAACATAAGGAGGCATTCCCAGTACAGAATTTTTATTGGAGTGAGCTGGGCTGGTTTGCATTACCTGGAGTTTTGTTGAAGAAAATTGTGAAAACAAAATAAGTTGTGACATCAGCCCTTGAACTAGATCTTTTATCTGCTGCAGCAAAGACTTTGCATTTAAGGCATATTTGTGCTGTTGTTTGCATCCTTTTCTGCGGCCCTTGCCGTGATTGATAAAGACAACTGTTACATCCTTGTTTTGAAACACAGGAGTAATCCAATTAATTCTCTGGGATAATTTACTTCCTGAAATTACATCAGGTATTTGCAGTTCCTTGCAGAACTGGGTCCTTGATTGCTTTAAATTCACTGAGAGTGATGAGGACAGATTCCTGCAGGGATATCGTGTTGTGTTTATGAAACTTGTGCTCTCGCTTTCCCTGTCTTCTGTGCACACACAAAGAAGTGCCAGTCCCTTTCGCAGAACAAGGTGCTCACTGATATCAGGTTAACATGCACTTTTAAATGGACTTGAACGAGAGCCATCCTGAGACGTTGTTTGACACAGGACTCAGCCAACCATAGAAAATAATCTTCATGCTTTGATGTCCAGTAGCTGCTTAACAGGGCAGTTGCAAAACACAGCTGAGCACACACAGGAATGGTTCTGTTCCTCTTTAAATTAAAAGTTGGAAGATTAAATAGAAAGTGGACAAGACTGGTGGTGCCTACAGCTAAGCAGTGTTCCTACTTGTATTAGAGCACATCTTCAATAGTTTTTTATAGAATTAATTTACTTTCTATAAGAGAAGCCATTCTTTTTAAATCAGCAGTTCTGACATTCATTGCAGGTACTATTTAGTCTTATAGAAAACAGGACTTAGAAACAAATCTCTCTATTTAAAAAAAAAAACAAACCCTACAGTGGGGAGCAGGGGAGAAAGGAGGAGTATAAAATATGATAAAACTGTGGTGAATGCTAAAAGATGCATTGTTTTCTTTGTGTGTGTGATTGTGCTTTTCACCCCATTTTTTATCTCCTTCTCTCAGGTGCTTTTCTAATCCCCTACACCCTCATGTTGGCGTTAGCTGGCTTGCCCTTATTTTTCATGGAATGTTCCCTTGGGCAGTTTGCCAGTCTAGGGCCAGTTTCCGTCTGGAGAATGCTACCATTGTTTCAAGGTTGGTTTTCTTATCTTTGCTTTTATTCCAGTAATAAACTGTTGTGAATTAATCATTTCTTCATGAAGTTACTAATTCTGGGCCACTGATATCCGTGTTGAAACTATTCCCAATGTTACAGGGTCAGTGTTATGTACCCAGGTATATACTTCCTCATTATTCAGCTAATAAACAGATGTTGAGTAAAGATTTCCCCAAAAAGGTTCTTGGTTATGAAAGGTTTTATCAGTGATTCTTTCAGTGCTCAGCAGCACATCACCCTCACTCCAGCTGTCCAGGCAGAAGCAAATATCCCTTGATATGAAAATTTGATTTGATTGAAAATAAATTTCAGAAGTTGACTTTATCACCATTTCTTTATGCTTCACGTCCAGTGTAGCTTGCAAGGCAATTGTGTGTTGAATGGGTTAATTCTGTATTTGGCTGCTAGTGTGGGCACAGGCACACAGGTCTGGGTGTTCTGTGCAGTACAATCACCCAGCACCTGCCTTGGGAGTCATCTGCAGGGGTGATAAAACAGCCTAGACTCTGGCTTTGTAAAGTGCGGTGCCTCTTGAGATCAGAGAAATCGTTGCATGCTGTAGTGGTAGTTTGTCTCGGTGAGGGCTTGTATTTCAAACTCTCTCACAGGGAGATTTGTTTGGAAACAATTAACCATGTGCTTTACCCACGCCTGTCCATCCTGGTCCTGTACCATGGGTGTAAGGGACTATGCAATGGTTTTGTTTGTCTTAATCTACCAGAGGAGTTAACATAGGAACGAGGAAGTTTCCTTCTGATGCAACAAGAATTTGCTTGTCACCTACAGAAACTGGTTGCCCCAACATTTACTCTTTTTGCCAGTCTCTGTTCTGCAGCACAAGAAACTTTCATGAAAGCAGTGTGTCTGTCCTAAAGCAAAAGGTTTTAAACACAGCACATCTTTAATGTGTCTGCGAAGACAAACTTATATATAGTTTAAGATGATTGGTGCAGTTTGTCCGGCTTTCCCAAACTCACAGAACAAACTCATTTTAACAAGGGGGAGAACAGTAATACTGACAATATTTACTGTTGTTTAAAGCATTCATTACAGTGGAATCTTTAAAATGGCTTGGGCAGTCTTAGTACAGTTTATTTTATTAAGTTTCCCTCTGACTGGGGAGAGAACAAAATACTGAATTTCTCCTTTAGACTTTGTAAATAGTCCAATTTTTCTGTGGGCCTGATTCAAACTCTGTTTCAAAACAATGTTTGAGATGGTCAGTTTGGATCATATCCATCATTTAATGGGTTTAAAATTTCACTGTTTGTCCGCTGTTAAAAAATATTTTAAAACCAAACAAAAACCAACTTCAACTTCTTCCCAAGTAGCCTTTTAAAAGTCATGTGAAGGCTGTTTGTTTTTGGGGGGGGGTGGTGTGGTGTTTGTAACCCGAGTTTGGGGTGGTTAAGATATTGTGTGTTTCTCTTTCCTAGGAGTGGGCATCACAATGGTCGTCATCTCAACATTTGTGACTATTTACTACAACGTTATCATTGCTTATGCACTCTACTACTTATTTGCCTCATTTCAAAAAGTGCTGCCATGGTCAGACTGCTTCTCCTGGGCAGATGAATTATGCAGCAAGACACAAATAGGTACCATACTTACCAGACAGAGTTTAATATTATTGGTTTTGGTAATTGGACTGTTTTCTGGGTGAAAGTATGGGAACAAGACAGCTAGCCGTGGCTTCAAAAGTCCTTCCTGGAATTTTGCATCTGAACACAGAGGAGTGATGCTTATCCACTTTGCCACCAGTTCTGGATGCTTGGGAAATCTACAGAGAACTGGGCAGAAATCACCTTGTTGGATCCTTTTTTTTCCCCTTTTAAACCTCAGCTTTTTTCTAGTGTATACATTTCCAATCCCTGGAAATACTGCATTCCCATTTCATCAGGCTTTGTGGCAAAAAAAAGTACCTTCCTTCCATGAGACAAACTGCTGCAGTAGTTTTTATCGAGGTCTTTTCATTACCCCTTGCCTCCCCTGTGGCTATGGTAATCCTGATCACCACTGAGGCGCTGGTTTCGCAGTTCATTAACTCTTTAGAACATATCTGCACACCATTGTTCTTGTGTTTCACAAGCAGATGTCAGGCCCAAACACAGCCAGTTTCTGTATCAGACCAATTTAAGGCAAAAGGTGAAGTTGGTAAGGTAATTACCAGTTAGCACCTGGAAATGTCTTGCCCGGTAACCAGTGATTATTAAAATAACAAGGACAAGATGAGGATGCATTGCATTGTTTACAGCATTAATGTAAATATATCTCAACCATATATCTGAAAATATCTTCTAAGAGGTCTTATGTAACAAAAAGTTGATGATTATTTATTGGCAAAACAAAAGATTTCAGCACCTAATTTGTAAGTTTTGGGTGAACACAAAACTGAATGGAAGAAGCTGTCCTGAAATAGGCTTCAACAAGAATTTCCAGTAAATGCTGATATATATGCTGATAAAGTGCTTTTTATTGTATGTTCTGGCAAAAAATTCCCAACCCCAGTTTCCATTTGTCCAACTCTGCTCCAAGGAAAATATTTAAAGTGCTCTAATAAGCCCTCTGCCACACTAAGACGAATATCAGATACCAGAAGATCCATTTGTCACCTTGGTTTGGGACACAAAGGTTTTCATAGAGTAACCAAGGCTACAATTTTAACTATGCTCAGTTTTGATTTTTATAAGTATTCTTGAGGATAAGTAAAATGTGGTGAGCACACCAGATTCTTGCTGTTTTGATTTACAGTCAAGTAGCAAAGTCACAGCTGCAAGTGACATTTCAGGTTTGTTTCCAAACACTGTTAGCAGGCAAACTGAAGCTGTAATTGCTTAGGAAACAAATTTGCTGTATCAGTCTGATTTTTTTTTTATAGTAGTCATTCCAGTGTTAATGATTCCTTTTTCTTGATTTCAGTAAATGACTGCAACACAACCTTGAATGGGGAAATAATTCGTGCAAACTACTCATTCATCGCGGGCAACAATCTCACGTGTATAAATGGCACCATAAACTACAAACCAGTGCAATTTCCCAGTGAGCAATACTGGAAGTAAGTAAATACTTTAAAGAAATTACTAAAAATAACTTTTTATGCATTGTGGTTTTGGATGTACCTTTTATTTTTGTATTATCTTGCAGTCCAGAAAAAATCTAGTCAAGGTATGCAAGTCACTAGAGAGAGGACTTAAAATTTAATTGATAAGTTTGGCCTTTTTAAGAAAAATTATGTATAGAAAGAAAAGCAAGTGAGTCAACCTTTAACCAATTGAAAAATGCTCCAATTTAAAGAAGTCCTCTTCTCTGATAGGCACTATTTGGCATCTTTACATGCAGCATATACTTTTATTTTTCTCAGGAGCTGCTGTGTAAAATATATTCACCTTATTCTGAATCTGGCCTGTTGCAAAATTGCCATTTCTTTATTGCCCCACATTCTCAATTTGCCTCGTGTTCCCTGGGTTCCTGGAAACTGATTCTTTTGGGCTCTTCTCTTCCTGTCAGAATTTCATGATTAACACAGAACATCTTAGGTGGGCCTTACAGGAGATGTGTGGAGAGATGAGAGCTGGTAGGCTTCAAAAAGAAGGGAAAAATGCAGCTAAATATAGCTTCACACAGCAGCTCACTTTTTCCTGGGGGCACAGGGGATCTATAGGGTGGGATCTATAGGGCAGAAGGAATCTATGAGGCAGGATTTCAGGATCTATGGGGGGCACAAGGGATCTATAGGGCAGCATCTGTGGGGCAGAAGGAATCTATGAGGCAGGATTTCAGGATCTATGGGGCAGACAGGAGAAGCAGCTGAAGAGGAGGTGTGTGTGTTGCTGCCATCCTCTCCTCACATGAGCATCATGTGCTTTCAGCAAAGTGACTCTGCAGCGCTCGAGTGGGCTGGACGAGACCGGCAAGATCGTCTGGTACCTGGCTCTCTGCCTCCTCCTGTCCTGGATGATTGTTGGAGCTGCCCTGTTTAAAGGAATCAAATCTTCTGGAAAGGTATGTCAGGAAGAGCAAGGAGATGACTTTTGGCCTGATTCTGCCCTCCCAATGTCAGTTGGACCCAGGGAAGTTTAGCACAAGGCAGGATGCAGTCCTAACACACCCCCCTCTGCCGGGCTCAGCATTTGGCTTCCCTCCTGCTACTCTGCTTCATAACTGTTACATAAAATATGAGCAAGGTGCTGATGACACAGCCATTACTAAACACCTGGGCCTCAACTCCACTAGGCTGCCCTGTATTTTGGGATCTTGCTGTCATGCCAGTGATTCCAGCAGAGTTTTAGCCATTGCCTGGGCTGTGTGATGGAAGCGTGCATGTGATGGCACACATGGGCACACGCCCTGGGAACACCCGGTGATTATTTTGTACTTCCAGTCTGGTTGAGATGGTTGGACCATACAGGTCAGGTGCTGTGAACAGGTGTGTGTGTGTGCAGGCTCCTTCCAGATTGTGAAATGTTGTTTGTTCCCAAGAGTTGAAGTTATTTGTAGGGACAAGGTACTTAGATGCTTGTTTTCAGAATCTGTCTCTGCTGAGCTCCCATTTCCACAACCTTCAGCATGGTTTTCTGGAGTTTTTCTTGGGCTAGGCTGAATTTCATTCTTCCTCACCTGAGACTCTTTGTGGTTTTGTTGCTTCCTCCTCATATTGTTTTCTCACCTTCATGTTGCGTCTCCATCATTTACATCTTCAGCCTCAGTTGCCTTTGCTCTTTTGTTCACCTTCTCTGCACAGATTTTTTCCCCCCCTTTTCCTTCTGTCATTGTGCCTTTCTTTGGCTCCTTGCTGCCTCCTTTCCTCTGCTCAGTGTGATGTCTCCTCCTGTTTTGCTTTCTATTTGGAGCTTTCTGCCCTTGTTTCAGTGCTTTGGTGTGGAGTGTCTGTGCTTTCCCAGCCTCAGTTATTTGGCTGCATGGCTCCTCTGAATCTCATGTTCTTTGGGTTCCTGGCAGTTGACTCTTTCCATTGTCAGTTTTTTTCTGGCACAAAGGCAATTGTCTTTGGAGAGCAAGGTGAGACTTGGAAGAATCTAGCTGGGCAGGAACAAGACAGATGAAAGGCAGAGAGAATTGTCCATTCTAGGCAAGCATGAAGGAGGTCTTCGGAAATGTCAGACTCACCACACAATGGTGCAATGCTCTGGCTTGGTGGAGCCAGCAGTTCTGGGTCAATTACCTGTCTGAATAACACTGAAACTAAGACTCAAGAAACCAGAGTATTGTTTAACATAGCCTGTATAACAATAATTGTACTGCTGGCCTTGGTCCCTTTGTGCTAGTACAACAGAGTAGAACTGTGTCTGAGAGAACCTAAAAGTCCTTGCTCCTGTAAAGAAAACTTCCAGAACAGTGACTTTTTTTTTAAAAAAAAAATTGTTTTGGCTTTTTTTTTTTTTGAGGGGTGGTAGGGGAGAGTAGCAGGGAGCTCATCAGGAGATAATTCCCCCCTGGTCACCTAGTTTTTCCTGGCTTTCAGTTTGCACTTGCTAGAAGCACTACCTAGCAAGAGACATCTGGGGTAGTTGAGTTCAGACCTTGCTACAGCAGTAAATCATGCCAGAAAACCCCATTTCTGAAACTGATCAAGTGCTATCTGAAATGTGGATATGTGGCTTGGGCCTTCTGCTTCTGTTGGAATGCAGCTCCAGAACCGGCTAAGCCAGATGGTTTGGTGGTTGTCATGTGTTCAGTTCTCTGGTCGCCTGTTTTTCTTTTGTACCAGCAGACCTTAGCTAAAGCCTGTCCAGTCTTCCTGCATCGAGGTCTGTGGATCCCCTCACATCTAACGTGTGTTCCTGCCCATCTTTCTGCAGGTTGTCTACTTTACTGCGCTCTTCCCATATGTCATCCTGCTCATCCTGTTGGTGCGAGGGGCCACCCTGGAAGGTGCTTTGGATGGCATTGAGTACTACATTGGGAGACAGTCCAACATCACCAAGCTGATGGAGGCAGAGGTGAGAGGAAATTCAGCCCCAGAAATGTGACATACATTCCTGGTTATGTGGCTTTCTTCTTTTACCCAGTCAGGTGTTTCAGGTCCTGCCCTGTATTTTGTACCAGCAGCTGGTTGTGTAAAAAGTCCAAGCCCCTATTCCAGCTACTCTCAAATTGAAAGACAGTCACCTCCTCCCCCCTCCCTGCCACACCAGTGATGGAACTGTGCTATTGCTTCTAAACAGTTCTTGGGGATCATGCTGGAGTTTAATCTTAGCAAGTTCGGCTGAGAAAGTTCCTGCTGATAATTTAAGGGACTTTATAATAAGGCTGAAGGGATCCCTGAGTTTGAAATTCAGGCCCTGCCTTGCCTGGGAAGTTACCTTGGGTAATTAGGTGGACCAGGAAGGGCACCTCATGCAAAGAAAGCCAGAACTTTCTTTGTTCTGGCTTATGCCAATATTATTGCAGTTTTATCAAAGGCAATCATTAAGTGTGATATTTATTTGTGGTACTTATATGAGTGCTTGGCACTAGCTGAGGGGCTACATCAGAGGCAGGAGTGGTTTGTTTGGGTCACACAAGTGGGAGGGTACATGGAATTCTCACTCCTGCAGCCAGTCCTGGTTGTCCTTATTTGTTGTATCTGTGCCAAGATTCATACCTCAGCAATTCACCTATGTGAACAAATCTAATCTTTTCTTCAGGGTTAGCCCAATAAGATTTAAGTATTTGGCAACATGCTTGGGGTGTGACCTTTAGACATCATAGAGATGCTGTTTGTGATTGAGACTGCAAGGTCACCAGCATGCTATCTATATTCTATCCTCCCTAAAATTCATATGAAATAGAATTATATATACAGGCTGAATGAAAAAAAAATACCCTTGAGCTTCAATGGAGGACAGACTTAAATGTTTATGATAAATACTATAAGTAATACAGTACTTTTCATGTCCTTTTTTTGTTTTGGTAGGTTTGGAAAGATGCAGCCACTCAGATATTTTACTCCCTGTCCGTGGCGTGGGGCGGGCTTGTTGCTTTGTCTTCATACAACAAGTTCCACAACAACTGCTACTCAGATGCCATTCTAGTTTGTGTGACCAACTGTGCCACCAGTGTATTTGCTGGGTTTGCAATATTCTCCATCCTGGGACATATGGCATTTGTGTCTCAGAGGCCTGTCTCAGAGGTGGTGGACTCAGGTAGGCTGATGGTCACACTGTTGGTACTGGGACTTGCATTGTCAAGGCATGACAATAACATCCTTCTCTCCACTACCTTCCAGGGTTTGAACTGGCCTTTGTAGCTTACCCAGAGGCTCTCTCCCAGCTACCAGCTTCTCCTCTGTGGTCCTTCTTGTTTTTCTTCATGCTTGTGCTTTTGGGCCTTGACTCCCAGTTTGCCACCATAGGTAAGTGGGGTTTTAAGCAACAGGGTTTTTATGGCTTTTCAAATGACCATTGCCTTTCTTAATTTTGCTGCTCAAACTCCCTACTTCTTCCTTTGCAGAAACACTTACAACCACCATTCAAGATATAAATCCCAGAGTGATGAAAAAATTAAGAGTACCTGTAACCCTGGGTCTGTGTGCAGCATTCTTTTTTCTTGGGCTTATCTGTGTTACTCAGGTAAGAAATTGAGGTTCTTGGCAGTGAGTTTAGTTATGTTGCAGGTGATGAACTCAAATCAAAATACCCTTTCCAACTGTTCCTGTCTTTGTGGATAAATCTTAGAGACCCTTGAATTTTGACAGTGTGCCTGAACACACAAACAAGCAATTCCCAGGGAAAGCTTGAAGAACCTAAGGTTTTCTGTGATTATTGAACTGAGACATGCTTTTAAATAGAAAGCCTTTATACAGCCTGTGAATGATCAGCCTGATTTATCGTTCCTCAGTTCAGGAATTTATTTGTGTAATCACAAGTACACGCATACAACATATCCACAGCACAATGGTGCTGCTAATAAATGCTGATGGGATCTTCTTGTTCAGAACTCACTACCAAACAGGACAGGAATTGAGGAATGGCCTATCCATGTAATAAAAACCCATTAGCTCATGAGCATTTGTAGATTGCATGGTTACTTCTCCTGCATGTGTATATTTATATAAATAGATATACAGAAAAGGAATTTTAAGTATACTGCATAAAATTTCTTGAGGCAATTGCTTTTAAGGGTATAAAGGTTCACTGCAATTACTCCATCTAGAAATGCAGATTTATGTGTGTAATTAGACTGAGAATGTGAAGGAAGTAATTGTGGTGAGTAGACATTTGTATGGTCAAGCAAAGTACGTAAGTCATGAAACAGGGTGGTGGGGAAGCTTGCAAAGGACTTAGTACACAAGAGTGGGGAATGGCTCAAAGATTGTTTCCTGCTCTGGGATCCTGCTGTTGCATACTGGTGTCTAAAGCTGTGGTTAACCCCATGGAGAAGTCATGCATGTAGGAGGATAGAAGCCTCCCAGAACTGATAACTGGTATAGATGTTGCTGTAGTTCAGTATAAAAACTTCAGTCCCAGCTTTATTCCTGTAAGCTCCACATTTAAATCTTGCTCTCAGCTGTTTATATATGCTCTGCATATACATAGATCTTTGTTTTAGCATCTATAGCATTTTGTTAGATGTGCTTTTCAACTTTACATTGAGGATTTAAAGAAAATAATATTCACAAATCTGTACTTGACCTGGAGAGCTGTGAACTTAAAAACTCAGAGTCATGATTAGTTAAATTGTCTTGAACAAATGCATCTTATTTGTATGTTACTACTCAAATTTTAACCTCTAATGTTTATTCTGCAGGCAGGAATTTACTGGGTTAACCTAATAGATCACTTCTGTGCTGGATGGGGAATCCTTATTTCAGCTGTCCTGGAGATAGTAGGCATTGTCTACATTTACGGTAAATTATTTGCATTGAAAATACATAATTAAACTAAGCATTCCCAGGAACAGTGTATATCACAGAGTCACAGTATGGTTTTGGGGTGGAAGGGACTTGAAAGATCATCCTGTTCCAACTCCCTGTTGTGGGCAGGGACACCTTCCAATAGACCGGGTTTCTCAAAGCCCCATCCAGCCTGGCCTTGAGCAGTGCCAAGGATATACAATACTAATTATTGCAATAAAGAATTTATAAGTTAACCGTCTGAATAGTAATATAATTTAAAAAAAACTTTAATGCAGAACTGGAGAAACTGTCCTTGATAACTGCTTTTCTTTGATCACTTCTGAGTAACCCCACCTGCAAGGGAGGTACCTGCTTTACAATGAGTTCCATGATTTTCTTCCAACAGGAGGAAAAAGATTCATTGAAGACATTGAAATGATGATTGGAAAGAAGAGCAGTTTATTCTGGCTGTGGTGGAAAATGTGCTGGTTTTTCATCACTCCTGTGCTGTTAATGGTGCGTGCACATGACTGGATTGTGTCAGTGTGACAGAGCTTAGTAACTTAATATTGAAGAGGTTTCTTTGTGAAGAGTCAGGGCTGACTGCCCAGGCTCTGTGTATAAAGATGGGGCATAGCTGTGCCAGTGAAGTGAACTGTGGGCTGTCTCTGCTTTCTGATACACTCCCTCCTCCTTTGATCCTCGCCAGAAGAGGCTGGAGCTTGAGATCAGTTACTAAGAGCTGGGTCTACACTCCCAAGGACTAACACAGGGCAACTAGATCCTCTGCCTTGGCAGCTGGTTTATCTTAATTTTAGACTGAGATTGGTTTGAAAATCTTTTGAGGGAAATCTCATTTTTGGGTCAGATGTTCTGCTGCTCTCCTGTCTAACTGAGATCTTTTAATGTCCTGTTGCATGTCTGGTTTTTGTTACTCCTGTACTTCCAATTGTGAGTGTAGACGGTTGGATTATGTTACTATGACAGAATTTATTAACATCCCCAATCCAGGAGCAGTGGCCAGTCACTCTGGCCAGCACATTACCTGTAATCTGTCCAGACTATAGTTTAGAAAATGCTGCTTAAAACTATCCAATTTCTGAAGTAATATTTTCCAATTTCTAATCTTAGATTCTTTCCTGTATTCCTGTAAATAATGGAACACAGGAACACATAAAACATGTAGAGAAGGGTACTGGGCTCAGCCAGCAACATATATATTATCCAACATAAGATTTAAAGAGAACGCAGAGATCAAGTTATGTGTAAACACAAATGTAGTTAGTGCATCTGGTGTCATTATTCAGTCCTGGCCTTCAGTCTTGCTGCTTGGTGATGACTGAAAACCAAATCCTGCACAACTGTTTTCACACTCAGACAACAAAATGGAACCATGCAGAACATGTAGACAGCCCTTCTTTTTATTGAACCAACTTGGAAGCAGTGCAAATTCAATGTTGCTGGAAACCTGCTTTTCTCTTATTGTTTTTGCCATTTTTTCTAGGCTATTTTGATCTGGTCTTTGATCACATTTTCAAACCCCACTTATGGCTCAGTGTTATACCCAACCTGGGGAAGTGCTGTTGGCTGGTGCATGATCATCTTCTGTGTCATCTGGATTCCCATTGTTGCTATTGTAAAAATACTTAAAGCTGAAGGAAACCTTGTTCAGGTAAGGGCAAAAAAACCCCACTGTCATAGCCTCAAATCTGAATTTATTTGTTATTATCAGGACCACTTGTGCTTTCTTCTCCAATCCATCTACTACTTTGACATGGTTTTCAAACGGATTTTTAGACCAAAGCATTATCTCTGGTAGTCCATCAAAGGTGCATCTACTCTACCATGTTCTGATAAGAAGACAAAGTCTAACTCTCTGGGAATCCATACACACCATTCAAGAGAGATTTTTTCATCAGTTCTGCTGCTATTCCAGCTCCTTTAAATTCTCTGAAGAATTTCTATTGCTTTCTATCCCCATATAATTTTCTGGAGTTTTCCCTCCCATTCCTCACAGAAACAAGTGACAGATCTGAGATATTCTGCTCTTGGTGAGTTTCCCCAAACGGTTGTGTTGGTCACAGCTTTCCCTGTTCTTTGACTTCAGCATCCAGAACCCACCGACCCCAAAGATACTTGGAACGATTCTAAACAACTTTGGTGATTTGCCATTTGTTGAGTTGCAGTGCATGTCTACAGCTATAATTTTACTGAATTTTCAAAGTAGCCTGGACTAAAGTAAGACATTCAATGCCTCTTGGTTTTGCTTTGCAGCGCATTGTCAGCTGCTGCCAGCCTGCAGCAAACTGGGGCCCCTACCTGGAGCGTCACCGGGGAGAGCGATACAGCCACATCGTGGATCCCAAGACGACAAAGGAGCACGAGATTCCCACTGTGTCTGCCATCATATACAAGCGATATTGAGACGGCTGTTTGGATGACTGTTTTTTAGTATATATCAGTGGGTTTTGTTTTTTAATATTGGAAAGGTACTAGGAAAAAAAAAAAAAAAAAAAAAGGCAAATCAACAGCCCTGCCCCTTTAAAATCCAGCCCCCAAATGAAAGCGAGTCATATTATTTATTTTTAGTGCTTTAGTCTTTGGGGAGGAACACATCAATAAGGCACTGAGATCTCCCCAGATATGTGGGTTGAAAGGGCAGGATAATACATTGCAGGCTCCCCAGGCTGCTGGGCTGGGCATGCTTCCCCCCCATCCAGCTGGTATCCAGCTGGACTGCAGATATGGGTGTGGGGGACAGTAAAGACATTCTGGTGCTCCCAGCTGGAGCCCAAACGTGCTCTGTGTGTGTGTGTGTGTGTGTGCTCTGAGGTGCAGTTGCTGCCTTCTGCTGTGCTCTGCCACCCCAGGGGTGTGCAGTCAGCAGAGGGGAATGGGTGTGCTGCTGCCTGGCACTGGAGCTCAGGGAACATGAGTAATTCTTCTCTGTCTAAGCCTTGCTCAGTGTGCTGGGAGGCTGCTCAGGATTTGATGTTGAGTATGCTCTGTGTGTGTGTGTTGTCTAAACAAATACAAATATTGAGTGGCAAAAAATTGCCATCACAGGAAATAAGATTTAAACATGGTGAAAAGCAGGCTGCTTTCTATTTCTCATTATTCCCCTTGGGATCCCTAAAGAGCTATCTTCTCTGTCATGCCCCATGCTCAGCCCGCATCTGTCTTTAATTCAAAAACCTCATGTTTCCATATTCTGTCATTAGGTTCTGCAGAATGAAAGTGTAACCATTGAATTTGCGTTTGTCTGCTCTCCTATTTTCATCAATGCTTTACCTATCACATTGTTTCCTGCTTCTTTCACTCAGATTTGGGTTTTCTCTTCCAAAGGAGACCCAAAGTGCTTTTTTAAAAGATTCAAACAGTGTTATGGTAGGACCAAAAGAAGCAGAACTTTACTTAAAGTGAAGTTTGCAACTACCTTGTAGTGCTGTTATTCCAAAATTTGCTGAAATCATGAGATTAATGAAAAGTTATGAAGTTTGTAATGCAGTTGGGAACACAGACTTGAGCATCTACATAGACAGGAAGGGTTTGGGTGAAGAGAAACTGACTTCACTTGTAATACAAGTGAATCCAGGTGAAGGGGTGGGGGGAAAGACTGAGGAAAGAATGAATACATTTGGTGTGCTGAGGAACATCTCTCTCACTGTGATAATGGTTCCTTGGGAACAAAGCAGCAGGGTGTTCAGCTGTCACTTCCTCTCAGGGCTTTGTCACTTTTTATGGACATGAAGGAGTGTGGATAGTGGCTTTCTTGCCCAAGCTGCATGCCTTGGTGTATGTTTTTTTGGTGTTTTTTTTTTTTTTTTTTTGGTGACAAATCAACACTTTATGGATAACAAAATGTGATTTTCCCCCCCCTGTTTTTAATGATTTTGGAACTGGCAAATAAAATGTGATTTTCTGTTTTTAATGGGTTTGGACCACAAAAGCTTCTATGATCCTAAGCCTTTGAGAGCTTGAACTGGAAAGATTCAACCTCCAGGAGGTCTTAGAAAGTGCAATAGTCTTGTTTTGGAGTGGGCTCAGAAAGTACAGAAAGTAATTAAATGGGAATTTATAAAAAGGACTGTGGGACTGGAGCCTGTGCTAGAAGCTGGTGAAGAGGACCCTATTCCTGCACTCCAGCTGCTCTAGGATCACGGTTCAGCCAGAAAAGAGGGCTGTCAGTAGCCTGGAGAGGCTGGGAGCAGGATGGTGCTCCATCTGCTGGAGCTGACAGCAGTTCTCACCTGGGAAGGGACAGACTCGGGGAAGGAGAGGGAAGTTACTGAAGTAATGAGTGAGAGCAATGAGATGGTGGGGAAGGACATTGGACAAAGCAGCTTCAGAAAGAATTCAGGATATTTTTTGCAAAGGAGATGCTGAAGGCTCATACCAGCCGTCTACAGCCCTGCAAGAAGCTCTTGCTGCTGCACACAGGGTTCACTTGAGTAGACTTCAAGCTACAAGATTCTTATTTGCAAACTTCAACTCATTTACAAGAAAAAGAACATTGTTGACAAGAGAAATGCATTGAATTTTCTCTCTTGTGTGTCCTCTGCCAGACACAAACAGATTCATATTCAACAGTTTGGATACAGTTTCATCAGGACATCTCCCTGTATTGCACAATCTCCTGAGTTCCCGACTTTCATTATTTTCCCTCAAGCACTCAGGAAAGTAGAACTTCTTGTCAGAGTTTCTTACTATAATTTTAAAAAGTATGGACACTATGACTGGCTTGGTTGTGTGCAGCCTGAGTTCCACAGGGTGAAACCAGCAGCAAGCACCAGTGATGGCAGATCCCTCTCCACCAGTGTTAATAAAAGTAAGGCAAAGTAATTCCCTTTAACAGATGATATGTGGCATTTTCAAGAAAGCAGAGGGCTCATGTTCACCTCTACCACCTAAACTGGATGCCTGCAAGGCAGCTTGTAGCTACACAAACATGTTAGTAAAATATGAGCAGCATGAAGACAGACAGAATTTCCCCAGGTGTTCTGTGGCCAGAATGATTAAACCCAAGCACATGACCACCAGGAATTTTGGTCCTTAGTTTTACTTTGCTGAGTGTATTTGAAATACTTCTAAAGCAGAAGAGGAAACTCCAGGTAAGACCCCAAAGAAGCAAACCCACGTTGTACATCCAGGACAGGCTGGGAATGGCAATGTAGGAAGGAATAACAGTGGTTAAAATGCAGCTGTTGATGAGAGAAAGGAGAATGCTTATGGGAAAATCCAGAAATGTGTAGATTACTGTGAATTAATAACAGTGTTTGACAAAGACTAAAATAATGAGAGGAATCTGCCATATTCCACCTGTTCAGATAGAGCTACAGGGCTGTGAAATGACAGATCAAATTAAGGTGTCAGGCAAAAAGGCTGTAGTGAGAGACTGATTGCTGAGACATTAACCAGGCTCTGGAGATGGTGACCTGGGAAAAACTACTGTGAGGGTGAGTCACTGGAGGGAGTCCTGGTTCAGCAGGAGGGTCTGAGGCTGGGCAGCCCTGAGTGCACTGCTTCTTCTGTGATCTTGGAAAAATCAGTTTGGAAGGACTGTTTAAAAAATTTTCATCCAGGAAACTAGGTAGCAATTAGAAACAAAATTAATTTCAGGGTTGTTTTTAAAAAAAAAAAAAAACCAAAAAAAAAAAAAAAACCAAAAAAACCAAAACAAAACAAAAAACACCACCAAAAAACCCAAACCCTTAAAAATGTTCCCATGAGCATTTCTGTATAGATCAAAATGTTTCTGGTAAGCTTTAGCCAGTCTGTCTTCCTCAGGTGGGGACACAAGAGCCTGGATGTTAGTGTGGAGCTATGGGGCAGGAAGCATCCAGCCTTGTTTCCATCAGCTGCTTTCCAGGCCTGACAAAGCTTGTGGCTATGCCATGCCTGTGGCCAGCTCCAGGCTTTGTCTAGATGAAGCTGATCATGCTGCTGAGGGAATCCTGAAATCCAGACTCTGTGGTTGACAGTAGAACCCTACCCTGAGCTGCCAGAGAGTCAATTTGCTGTCACCAAATGAGACCTGTCTGCTTGTGCTGTGGTGATCTGGGATGATGCTCCTGCCATCAAGATGCTGTGAAACTGTACACTCAGCTTTGGAGATGCAGACTTTGATTAAATCTGGGATTTACAAAACAAAATCAGGAGGACTGGCAGTTAAGGGGGATAAGGCACAAGCAAGGAGAAATGTCAGAAAAGAACTAAAAGGCACAGGCATTGGTGGAGAAGCACCTCCATGTGCTTTAAAAGCCATGCTCCTCTGGAGCTCTAAAATGCAACCAGATACGTGCTAGGATCTGCACTTTCACCAGCCACAGCACTTTCTGAGAGGATGTGGCTGGCCAGTGGCATTGTCTCACTGAGGGACGTTTAATAGCGGCTCCTTCTGCACCCCAAACCCTTACAGAACTGGCTAGTGCTACACTTTGTCTACTAGATGTATTTTTCCAACTTCAAAGTTTATACTTTTATGAAATATGAATGAATGTGTGTTCATTTGCTCCTTCGTTTCACCTTCCTGAGGGTTGCTGATGGTGCTTAAAACGTGCCTCCTGTGTGTCTGTGCATGCGTGTGTGTGTGTGATGGATTTTTGCCAGTGTGGAAGAAAGAGGCAAACCAACCTCATTTTCTGAGCCTTCTATAACAGGACTGCAGACATCCAGAGCCCAAATCCCTGCCTGGTGCATGAGTGTGCACCAGGTTTCAATGGTTTCAGGAGCAGGGGTTGCTCTGCTCTTGCTGAATCCCACTGCTGCATCTCAGTATTTTTGTTCTCCTGGCATTAGGAATATTTTTTTCGTTGTTTGGTTTTAGTTTTATAAAGAATATACAAACTATTTTCTTCTTTTGAGCCTAGACACTGTCTTCAGTGTAGAGAATCAAGAAATTTCTACATTTAAACTCTGCTGCAGCAACATGGTCATATTGATTTCAGTTACCCACAGCAGCATTGCTTAATAGCTTGAGTCTGAGCACGGACTTTGGAGCTGGTTGCAACAACAGAGTCACCTTTTCATCCTGGAAGTGATGAATGGCTTAGGCATACTAGGCAGGAAAATAAAACCTGTCACTGGAAGACAGATGAGGGCAGTATTTCCCTTTAATGTCAGGACATATGTGTTCCTCTCTGAATAGGTTTTCATCTTATGTGGGCTGTTAAGTGTCTAAGCTCTTTCCAGAGGAGCGTTGCCAAATATTCTGCTTCTTCATACAAAACTGGGGATCCACATTGCTGGTGACACATGCAGAAAGTATAGGAAAAGCAGAGATTTTCTTCACAGCTCTGAGAACTTATGTTAAGGAGGTTTGCTCTCCTTACCTGATATTTTCCTGAGCATTGTTTTCTGTTTGTTTGTGTTTTGGGATTTTTTTGGGGGGATTGGGGTGGGTTTTTTTAATAATTGTCTAAAGT